TGTTAAATCTAGAAGGGTAGCTAGTCCTAAAGGGTTAGGGTTGGTTCTCGGGCAAGACAACTAAGGGAAGGGAAGGGGTTTTATTGAGATGATAGTATTAGAGGAGGATATAACGAGTTAATAATATAGCCTAAGTGTAATCCAAACAATAGATTAATAAATAGGTTAAACATGAGTATAAGGGTTTATACCCACATTCCTATATACTAAGCCTAATCAGTTACTTAGTTAAACTAATCATGGTGATTAAGTCGTGCTTAGTGATTAGTATACGAGTTGCTTAGTGTGATTAGTGGGCTTAGCGCACTAATTACTCTAATTAAGTTACGTAACTACGGTCACACCTGTGTCCTAGTTACTTTACCTAATTACATGTGTGGTCCGGATAACTATTTATCTTGGATCCTAACATCACCCCCTCTCTTCCTTAGATCTGCCCTTAGATTAGGTGACCTAGTCTCGTGCCTAGATATAACTAGAGTGGGCCCCACGTTATAAGTAGCATCCGCCTAGTCTCACATTATGCCTAAATAACCCGCTTCTAGCACCTCCCATCGTCATCTCTTATCCAACTTTATTAACTCTTTTGGCGAAGCCATAGTAAAGAAATATTTAACCTATGTTAAACACGGCTGTGTCTATAAGGTCCATATTCGTTCTGGGAAGTATGGCGAATGCGTTTATTGTGGTTAGCGCTGTAATATATGAGTTTTAGAATCCGAATTTAAGTGACTACTTACTAAGAAAGAGAAGTTGCGTCTAAAAATAAAAGAATTAAGAGAAACGTAGGAAGCTGTGTTTAAGGCTTATAAAAAGGCGTTGGAAGAGTTGCATATTACACGTACGCGCGAAGATTAATTACGTTAGTAGATAGATTTGTTAGATAAGCATACTAAAGAAGTAATTACCGTGGAGGAGTGGAGTATTAAGGAAGCCAAATTATGAGAGGTCCCCAGCTTCCTTTTATCCTTGGAAGAGGTTCCCTTAGGTCCTTCCCTATCTCCCGCCACCTAGGGTGCTTTTGAAGGTCTCCCTAATAAGTTTTAGGACGCTTCTAGCCCATTACCTTCCTAGGTATGTTATAATCTTCACTACTAGAGTGGTGATATTCTTAAGAAGAATTC